AGGAGTCCCAGGAGAGATGTGCCATGAAACCTAGGGCTATGACTCTCTAGTTCTGCTTAAATTAACATCCTCTGCTTCTGAGTAGATATGGACAATTTAGAAGCACCCTACCACCCTCCTGGAACTCTAGAATGTTAGAATCAGAAAGGACCCTGGAGATGATAGAGTTTTAACTTCATTTTTTGTTATTTGTTTGTTTCATGACCCCATCTTGGAGTTTTCTTTTTTTCTTTTTCTTTCTTTCTTTTCTTTTCTTTTTTTTTTTTTTAGGTAATCAGGGTTGAGTGACTTGCCCAGGGTCACACAGCTAGTAAGTGTCTGAGGCTGGATTTGAACCCAGTTCCTCCTGACTCCTGGACTAGTGCTTTATCTACTGTACCACCTAGTTGCCCATTTTGGAGTTTTCTTGACAAAGATCCTGGAATGGTTTGCCATTTCCTTCTCCAGCTCATTTTTACAGATGAGGAAACTGAGGTAAACAGGGTTAAGTGACTTGCCCTGGGTTACACAGCTAGTAAGTGTCTGAGGCCAGATTTGAACTTGGGTCTTCCTGACTCCAGGCTCTTGCATTCTATCCACCATGCCACTAGCTGCCCCATTTTACATGTGAGGAAACTGAGACCCAGAGAAGCATGTCCAAAATCACACAGAAAATAGAATGGTAGCTAGAACCCAGGTCTCCTGATTCTCAGTCCAGTAGAATTCAGTGCTTCTTTCCCTGGCATGGCCAATCAAGTCTGAGACACACCATCCTCTCTCTTCTGATCAGCCTCTGTGCTCTTCTATGAAGCATGAGCCTCCCAATGGATTGGCTAATTTGCCTGGTCTCCCAACCCAGTTCTTCAGATGAGCAAGAGAGTTTAGAGGTTAAGACTGGGGTGCCTACTCACATCCCATTGCGTCTTCCATTCCCCTTTCCTTCATCCTCCTCCCTCTTTTCTTCTAAAACCGAAATTAGCAGATGCAGTTGGATATGATCTCTGGGTCCCTTTCACCTCTAACTTTGTATGAGTTGATACTTCCTCATCCTCCCTGCCCCGTCCTCTGCCCCACATTTTCCCATTTGAGCAACCAGAAAAATGAAATGTCCAACCCAAGTGCCATGCATGGCAATGGTCAAGGCTGGCATTCAGGGGAAGGATGGCACAGAAGAAAGAGGTGGAAGGCACTCGTGGTGAGAGAATGAAAAGTCGGAAGAGGATTTTGTTTTGTTTTGTTTTTGTTTCATCTCTATCTCACCTTGAAGAAGTAGCATAAAAGGATTGAAGGGCTTCACAAAGCCTCACTTGAAAAACGGGGGAACGATATGCCGTGGAGTCATGAAAACTGGCAGGAAGTTGGGGAGGGAGAGAAAGGGAAAGAGAGGAGGGAGGGAGGGAGAGGAAAATAGAGGGAACTTGGGGTCATAGCTCTAGAGCTGTCAGAGACCACAGAAGTCATTTAGCCTAAAATCCACCCCACCACCCCTTTAAGAAATGAGGAAATGGAGAAGTTATGTGACTTACCCAAGGTCACACAGGTAGTAAGTAGAAGATAGGAGATTTGAACTCTGGTTCTTATGCATCATACTGCTCCGCTTCACCCACCTTTAAAGGCCAAGAACAGGTGAGGCAGGAGCTCCACCTGAAGACCTTTGTACTTACCACTGTGAGTGAGGGGGGAAGGAAAGTTTGTTACATATAAGGGTTTGGCTCATGGTATAGGTGTTTTGTTTATTTTCAGTCATTTTCAGTTGTATCTGACTCTTGGTGACCCATTTGGGGTTTTCTTGGCAAAGATCCTGGAGTCTTTTGCCATTTCCTTCTCCAGTTCATTTTCTAGATGAGGAAACCGAGGCCAACAGGATTAAGTGACTAGCCTAGGATCACACAGCTAGTAAGTGGCCATGGCTGGATTTGAACTCGGGAAAATGTCTTTCTGACTCCAGGCCTGGTACTCTAGCCACTAATCCAAAAACATTCCAAGGATGAAGCATGTGTCTCTCAGCCACCAGGCCTATCTGAGCTGATCCAATAGAATACTTTAAAAAAATTAATTTCATTTTTTGAATGAACAAAAATCTATTTTCTGCCCCCTTCCATCTTCTTTCTCACTGGAAAAAAAAAGCTTTGTAAAAATACGCAAAGTCAAGAAGAACAAATTCCCACATTGGCCATGTTCAAAAAATACCCGGTGGCATCTTGACCAAGTGCCAGCCTTAAATTCTGCCTCAGGATAAGTGGAGGAGACAGTGAGTGACCCCCAAGAGGCCTGAGCATCAAGGTTACAAATATAATTTGCTGCTGTTAGCTGCCAACAGAGAACAATTTGGGCTTTCTTAAGTCTCAGCCCCAGAGCTGCTACATGCAGCCTAGATGCCTGGGAGAAGTACCTGGAAGTGAAGGGGTCCTAATTTCCTTAACCCCATACCCTCAGAGAGCAGGGGAAATAATGCAACCTCTTTTAGGCTGACTACCACTGGAAGAATTACCCACAGTGAAGGGAAGGAAGAATGTGGAAGTGACTGCAATAATGACAAAGAAAAATTCTGAGAGGCCCGAGGCAAAAGGTGAAGAAGGCAGTGTATAGGGGGTGGCCCCTCTGCCCAAGGCTCCCCTCTTGTCCAATTTCAATCGCTATGGTCAGACTGGTAGTGTGGCCTATCCAGGAAGGCAGCATTTGAGGGTGGGGAGAGCTGTGCAGCCCAAGGCCTCAGTGGGGGGAATGAGAGAGACTCTACCACAGGCTTTGTCTGGGATTAACTGAGGTGTAATCCTGGGACAACCTGACTGATGCAAGAGCAGCTGCCCTCATCCCCAGGGTGTCTGAGGAAGGTGAAATTTGCCCCTGGAAACCGGGTAGTCCTGTCTTCTCTCCATGGCCAAACACAGGTTACATTCCAGCTAGGCTTTCCTGTGTGACACTGGCCAAGTTTTAGTTTCTGCTGCCAAGCGTAGAATCTACCTGCGAAATATCTTTTAGAATCCCCCTAGACACGGTTGTGTTGTAGACAAGGCCCTGGACCTGGAGTCGGGAAGACCTGGGTTCACATCCCACCTCAGACACTTCCACCTATGTAACCCAGGGTAAGCCACTTAACCTCTCTATGCCTCAGTTTCCTCAACTGTAAAACGAGGGGGTAGGACTCTATGACCTTTAAGATCCTGTTCAGCTCTAAATCTTTGATCCTATTTTTTCCTCATTATCTGTTTTCTAGGTTATTGAAATAGCCTTCAAACTCATCTCACTAACTCCTATCTCTCTTCTACCTAGATGACAAAATCTTCTTAATGCATACATCTAACCACTTTACTCCCCTTCTCAAAAAACCCTCAGTGGCTCACCATTGCTTGTAGGATGAAATATAAAATCTTTAGCCTGGCACATAAGACCCTCCATGATATGGCTTCAGTCTACCTTTCAATCAATCAACACGCATTTATTAAGCCCCTACTATGTGCCAGAGACTGTGCTAAACCCAGGGGACACAAAGAAAGGTAAATGATGGTCCCTGCCCTCAAGGAACTTACAGTCTAGCAGGAGAGAGAACATGAAAGCATTTCTAGCATTATTTCACTCTTCACATATTTCATTCTCGAGCCAGACTGGCTGCTCTCCCATTTTTCATCTTACCTTTTCCCACTTGCATGAATTTATGCCTGGAATGCCCTTCCTCCCTATCTCTGCTTATTGAAATCCTTCTGTTCCTTCAAGGCCCAATTTTGGGGTCACCTCTTCCATGAAGCACTCTCCGACGGCTGCCACATACTATTTGAAAATGGTTCTCCCTACTTAGCAGCTAAGTGGCTCAATGGATAATAGAGCACTGGGCTTGGAGTAAGGAAGACTCATCTTCCTGAGCTCAAGTCTGGCCTCAGACTAGCTGTATGACCCTGGGCAAATCAATTAACCCTGTGTTTGCCTCAGTTTCCTCATCCATTAAATGAGCTGGAGAAGGACACGGCAAACCGCTGCAATATCTTTGCCAAGAAGACTCAAAATGGGGACACAAAGAGTCAGACGCGATGAAAACAACTCAACACCAATAACAACAAAAAGAGCTTGGGCAAGTCACATAATTTCTCTAAGCCTCAGTTTCCTCCTCTCTAAAATGAGGCAGTTGGAGAAGTTGGACTTCTAAGGTTCCTTCTGGCTCACAGTCACAGTCCTCTTCTAGAATGGACAAAGAACAACAACAATCTGTATGAGTAGGTGCCCCACTGGGGAACCAACGGGACAGTTCCAGTTGGCCAACACAGCTCCTGCCTTCCCTCCTCCTCTCCCTTCTTCCTCTCCCTCTGCCCACAAAGGGTGCTCTGCCCAAAGGAATATAAATTTTAATAGCTGAAACCTCGTAAGATCTCTTGGGGTTTACGGGCTAGATTTCTTTTTTCAAACCCAAATCACTCTGGCCAACAATTGTTAATTGGCCAACAATAGGTCCCAGACCAAGCCTCATTTGGTCATTATTTGGGCTCAGATGGTTCAGAGTAAGTATAAATAGCAATCATTTCTGTTTTGGCCAGAAACCCTGAGGGTCTTTCCCTCCTAGATTGATTTTTTTTTTTTGCCTGGGTAAAAGAGGCCCCATTCTTTGCCTCATTCTTAATTACTGCATATTGCCTCAGACAAATTGAGACCTGGGAAAGACCTTATTTAAAAAGGCCAAGGTCCCCCATTGCATCTGGGGCCATCTCCAGTCTTCCTGATCTATATCTTGCCACTGGACCTAGATGGCTCCTGAGGAGAGAGAGAGAGAGGCTGGTGACTTTGCACAGCCCTCCCTCACTTCAATCCCAATTCACTTGCAAGTCATGACATCACCTTCCCATGTCATGTTCCTTTGAGAATGAAGGATAAACAACAATAACAAGGATCCTGTGATCTTCTAGCTCTTCTGGGAGAGAAGGGACCTCATGACTTTGAGGTTTCAACAGCCAATCTGTTTGTTTTCTCCTCCATGTCTGCCCATGCATTGGTTGGGTTCTTGACACTGCTGCTTTAGAAAAAATGAAAGTAAACACATTTTTAAAGGTTTTTAATGATCTATCACTCATTTTGTGTTCACAGCTCAACCATGTCCACCAGGTGGCAAAAGGAAACATCTCATCGTATATCAAAGAAGATTACTAGAGTGTAAAATTCCATGAAGATGAAAGATATCCCTTCTTTAAATTTTGTATCTCCCTCAGTATCTAGCCCTGTGCAAAGTACAGGGTAGGCATTTAATAAATACTTGTCAAATTGAATTGAAATGGATATTTCCCATATTTGGTGAGAGAAAAGCAAATTGGAATCGATCCATTTCTGTCATAGCCAGAAGGTAAGTTCAAGGTCCATGTGTGTGTGTGTGTGTGTGGGGAACCAAGTCATTTCCCAGCTTGGTTGACTCTTCAGTGACTCTCATGTGGTTTTGATCAGGTCTCCTGCTTCTTCCTGCTTGTCCCTTTCTCCATCAGCAACCTGAATATCAAGCAGTCCCATCTTTCTTCCATGCTCCTCTCTCTTCCCTTGAGACTTGGGAGGGTGAAGGAGTTAGCTACTTGTAATGTATATGGAGCTGTCTCCAGGAAAGGGACAGAGCAGGGTGGAAATGAGGTGGGTCTGTGTCTTCGGCCTGTCTCAGGCTTGCTCTCATGCCAACTAGGCCTGGCATAACTTGGGGCACTGTGCCCCCTTCGACAGAGGGAATGAAACAGGTTGGAGAGAGTTGAGGGAGGACAGGAAAAGGAAACCAGTGAAACAAACTCCCTGTACCCCTTATTTGGGTGGGGCCTACAATGAGGGGAGAACCAAATACAAGGAGATGAGATCAAGAGTCTCTGAGGCTAGGCGGATGTGGGCCTAATAGCATTCTCTTTCCCAGCTCCTTTTTGGGGGACAGAAATGGGTTCATGTTGGAAAGTGAGAGTTCAGGGCTCTTGGGTCCAGCTTGTTTGCAAATGCCAGGATACCTAGGGTATTAGTACCCATGGATAGAGAGATTCAGGGCTCCCCTGAACCACTGGTGAGGGAAGGACTGAGGACTGCTTAAGGGACCCCACTAGCCTTGGCTGCTCTTGGACAAATAAGCCACTAGGGCCACTACCACTGCAATGTAGACACCAGTGCCAAGGGTAATGGAGAGGATGGCCAGGAAGAGGGCCCGTCGAGAAGTTGTGCTGGCCAGGTGAAAGTCCCCTTTGGCGATGGCCTTGCTGGTCTAGGAAAAGAGAAGCCACATAAGAAGGACCCCTATTCCTCTGGACCCATCCTTCATAGGCTTCTTGAGGATGGGGATGTGGGTGGGACAGGCCCACGAGGGAAAGAACGTCATTCCCCAGGGCTTCAATTTAACTTGATTCTTCCTTCTTTTTGGTCATTCTCTAAAAGTTCCTGACTTAAGCTAGCCAAAGGGACAGGAGCGGATCATTTCAATAAATGGGCGCTGCTAGAAAGGGGACGAAGCTGTCTTGGAGGAAAGGCAGGACAGGGCCATTCCTATTTGTCCCATAGGCATGACATCTTGGACAACTTATATGACACCCACCTCACCCCCAACAGTTACCCAAGTGAAATCATGTTTGAAAAGAAAAAAAAAACACCCTGAACTATCAAGGGTAGCTTGGATGGGAAGAGAATATCTTAAAGAGCAACTTTGTTGGGTGGTGGGGAGAAGACACAGAAAATGAAAAAGCATAGTCCCATGCGTCACAAAGCCAATATGGGGATTTTTGAAGGGTTGGTTGTATACATATACATATACATATACATATACATATACATATACATATACATATGCATATACATATACATATACATATACATATACATATACATATACATATACATATACATATACATATACATATACATATACATATACATATACATGTACATGTACATGTACATATACATATACATATACATATACATATACATATACACATACACATAACATACACATACACATACACATACACATATACATATACATATACATATTTATCCATATTTATATTTAGTTAGTTATTTCTTGGGTTTTTATTAGACTCAGCTGAGACAGCCACTTTCTAGGTCCATCCCAGGGCTAGGAGTTACTGCCCAATTCACAGTCCTCGGATTGCTTGTGGGTAGAAGGCACTAGGATTACAAACTAGGCTTCCCTTTATGGTGTAAAGCACAGCCAAGATGGCCCTTTCATCTGAAAGAAAATCACGCTTCATCCTGCATCCCACACCCCACCTACAGATGCTCCACAGTGAAACTTACCCTTTGTGAGAAGTAGAAGGCAGCAATGCCCAGAGGCCAGAAGCAGCAGAGCATGGAGAAGATGGCAAGGCCAAGGTGGTCCCTGGGTGGTAGAGTGAGAAACCCATCTTCACTCTCGCTGACACTGGAGGAGTCACTCTGGAAGATAGTGGGAGGGGGTTAAGCTATCTAAGACAGAGTTCCTGCCTTGGGAGGTGGGAAGGGAAGGGAGGGGTCCCAGAATCTAAACTAAGCCTGAGGCTGAGAACGTCTTTGATACTGGGTCTCAGATTTCAGATGTTTGGCTTTTAGTGTTTGCCCTGCCCTCCCTTTAGAGTAGGGGTTCTTAATTCTTGTGTGTCATGGACCACTCTGGCAGTTTGATAACGCTTATGGATCCCTTCTCTGAAACATTTATTCAATTTTATTTTTTCCCCAATTCCCAATTCCCTCCCTACATCCCTTCCCCCACCCATTGAGAAGGCAGGAAATAGAAACATATTTTTAAATGTATAAAATACATAGGACCCAATTATATTGAAACGCAGTTACTAAAATAATAACTAAAAAAACCCCAAAACAAACCAGGTTAGATATCTCCTGAGGTCTATCCACAGGATCCTTAGGAGTTAGAACTTCTGCCTTACAGCGTTCTCTTGAAGGACAGGAATTCCATCTTCTTCTTCTTCTCTCTCTCTCTCTCTCTTTTTTTTTTTGTGAGGCAGTCGGGATTAAGTGACTTGCCCTGGATCACCCAGCTAGTAAGTGTCAAGTGTCTGAGGTTGGACTTTAACTCAGGTCCTTCTGACTCCAAGGCTGGAGTGCTCTTCATTGCACCACCTGGCTGCCCCAGGAATCCCATTTTCTACATAAGGCCTAGTAGGAGTCAGTCTGGGGTATTAAAAGACCTGGGTTTAAGTCTCAGCTCTTGTTATTATTTATCCTTCATTCTGGAAGAGGACCAATGACATCAGTAGGGGGATGTCTTGACTTGCAAGTGAACTGGATTTAAGTGAGGCAGAGCTATGCAAAGTCACCAGCCTCACTCTCTCCACCAGAGTCATTGGAGTCCAGTGGCAAGACACCAGTAGGACAACTGGACCTCAGCTCTTCATATATGCTAATGGGGTGACCTTGTGTGGAATGCACTCCTTCCTTTTACCCCTCCCTCACAGAATCTCTTTCAGTTTAAGATGCAGCTCTGGCACCATCTTTTCCATGAAGCCTTTCCTGACTTCCCACGACTGCTAGTATCCTTTCCTCCTAAACAATGTTGCGCTTAACTGTTTTGTATCACTTATTTTACATCTATGCTGTACATATTTTCATATGGACTTGTCTCCTCCATTAGAATATAAGCTCATTGCAAGGAAGGATTGCTTCATTCTTTATACTTTTATTCTCTGTGCCTAGCATATAGTAGGTACTTAATAAATACTTGTCGATTGATTATGAGGAAATTGAGTTGTATAATCTTGAGTGATAATGCTGATGATAGTAGTGCAGGAAGAGGAGGACTCAGTGAATGAATATACATGAGGCTGCCCCTCGTTCTGGGGCTCTAGAGGAATGCTGGTCCAATGGCCCCCCTAACTGCTAACGAATATATCCCAAAGAGGAATGGCCTAAGAAAACAGCTTCCTATCCTAGATCTTTACCACATGAGATCCAAATAGCAACTATTTTAGAAATGAAAGGCTTAGAGAGTTTAAGTCACTTACCCAAGGTTACACAGTGATAGACAGAGGCAGAGACAGGAGAACTCGGAACAGTGATGCCACAGCTTTCTTCCCTCACCCCACTGCTTTCCGTCAAACTCACCTCATCATCTTCTTCCTCCACCTCCAGAAAGTCATCTTCTACTTCGAAGGATACTGTCTGAATCTTGTCATCCTCCTCAGCCTGGCTGGGTCTCTGGACTCCTTCAGGGGTGCTGACCTGGGGCTCCTTGCCTTCTGTGAAGGTAGTCTCACAACTATCCCCTTTCCACTCCTTAGCTTTGTCCTTCACGAGAAGAAAGTTGGACCCATACAGCGCCTCTACAGCCAGCTGCAGGGACCCTGCATCTAACAGTTGGTGGGTTCTGGCCTGGCCAGCACTGCCAAAAAAGTAGGAATAGAGCTTCTCCTGGCAGTCCCAAGTTGGAGAGTCCTCATGGAAGGGATATGTGCTGGGGAGGTGACCATTACTCTTGGCCAGCAATGGATTGTGCACATCATTCAGGCTCTCCATGTTTCCAGGGGTAGGATTAGAAGGGCTGGTGGTGCAGGTGTTTGAGCTACAGCTGGGGATGGGAGTGGCGCCTTCAAGGAGCCTGCTAGAAGGGGAAGACACAGACACAGTAGTGGGGTTGAAGGGTCATCCAATGATCAATAAAGAAGAAAGCCTGGCTTTAGGAATACAGTGAAGACCACACATGTTCTAGGCTTTATAACAAGGGTTTTTCAGAACTTTGGTTACTCATGCTCTTAGGGGCAGGTAGATGGCACAGTGGATCAAGCACTGGACCTAGAGTCAGGAAGACTCATCTTCCTGAGTTAAAATCTGGCCTCAGACATTTACTAGCTGTGTGACCCTGGGCAAGTCACTTAACCCTGTTTGCATCAGTTTCCTTTTCTGTAAAATGAGCTGGAGAAGGAAGTGGCAAAACACTCTAGTATCTCTGCCAAGAAAATCCTAAATGGGGTCACGGAGAGTCAGACATGACTGAAAAGACCGAACAACAGCAATCCTAGGATAGGACCCTGTTTGTTGACATGACATATGCTGATTTCTTCCTCATAACAAGTCTTATTAGAGAGGAGGCCAGGCTTCCTGAACTCAGGGTCCCAAGCTTGGTTAGGTGTGATAAGGTGATAGGTGGTGATAGGAGCAGGACAGAGTACATAGCAGGCATTCAGTAAATGCTTATAAAATCAAGGAGTGACTTTGGGCAGATTTCACACTGCTCTGACTTCAGGGATTCAGAAAGGGGATGGGATAGGGTAAGCCTTCCCTGATTCTAGGGACAAAGATGGCTGAGGGATAATTGCGGTATAATGGAATTCAACACCTTGGGTTCATAAGATCACTGATCTAGGTCCATAAGGGACTTAACAGCCCTCCTAATCCAACCAATTTCTAGAAAAGGATCCAAGGGGTTCAAAGATTTGCCCAGTATCATAGGTGGTGGTAAATGGCAGACCTGAGATGTGAACACAGGTCCCATGGCTCTAAGTTCACCAGGAACATTCAATACTCTTTATATTGCATCACACTGCTTCTGGCATGTATGACTTTGGGCAAACACCCTGACTTCCCTCAGCACCTCAGTTTCCTCATTTATATAAAAAAGGGAAGAGGCAGGGTAGAGCTGGACTAGGTGGCTTCTCAGGTAACATCCAGCTCCAGATACATGATCCTTTGTGGACAGAAAGACTTAGGGCAGAGCCAAGGTGGTATCAGTAATCTATGGGACATGGTTGGTTTCTATTCCTTTTGTCCTGAGCTTAGGAGACAACAGCAACAGCCATTGTGAGGTCCTCTGGAAAGAACAAATCTCTCTGTGCCTTTTTTCACTTGGCTTCAAGGCTGGCCCAAGTTCAATGTCACCTCCCCACTTCTTTTCCCTAACTAGGATCTCAGTAAGAGGGTTGGGGAGAGTAGAGAGGCAAAGAAAAAGACTAATTGGGAATGGAAATGGAAATTTCTAAGCCCAGTGCCATATCTGAGAGCTATCCCTTTCTCCTTCCTCTGTCCTACTACCACCCATATTTACACAATCAAAGTTTGGGAAAGTTCCTTATCCATTTTCTCCACCAAGAGCAGAGGAATGAGTCAAACTTCTAGTTAATCTACATTTTTGAACATCTACAATGTGCAAGGCACAAAGTGTAGGATAAAGGAGAAATAAACGAAATGAATCGGTTCCCACCTTGAGGGAGTTAGAGGATGGATGCAGGCAATGACGACCATGGATTTAAAGCTGGAAGACACCGTACAGGTAATCACTCTCTCCTCTTGGCCATCTCCATAGCTTTGCCATTCTCCTTCCCACTCAGTAGAAACTTCTGCCCTGTAGCCCCTGCTTTTCTAATTGGTAACTGCCTCTCCCAGACCACTACTCCAAGAAAAACTCCCAGGTGTGCTTCACTTCACTCCTGACTCTCCAGCCATCTCCTCTGTAACCTTAACAACTTCCTTGCCTCCTCACCCCAGCCCCAACAACCCAAGCAGGTACCGTTTCCTTGCTCTCTCTCCACTTCTACAGTTCTGAAACCATGAACCATGTTCAAATCAACTCTCCCATTATTCTTGGATGGGACAGGTCAGTCTATACCCCAGTCACCATCTCTGTAATTTCCTTGTCCAAAGCATGCATGCTTCCTTGGCCATCATTCTCTCTTGTATGGTGCCTTCCCTTTTAAAATGTAAGCTCTCTGGAGAACAATTTGGAACTATACACAAAGGGCTATAAAAATGTGCATACCCTTTGACCCAGCAATAGCACTTCTAGGGCTATATCCCAAAGAGATCATACAAATGGGGAAAGGACCTACATGTACAACAATATTCACAGCAGCTCTTTTTGTGGTGGCAAAGAATTGGAAATTGAGAGGATGCCCATCAGTTGTGGAATGGTTGTGGTACATGAATGTAGTGGAATACTATTGTGCTATAAGAAATGATAAACAGGTTGACTTCAGAAAAACCTGGAAAGACTTATACGGTCTGATGCTGAGTGAAGTGAGCAGAACCAGGAGAATGTTGTACACAATAACAGCCATATTGTGTGATGACTAATATTGATAAACTTAACCCTTCTCAGCAATGCAAGGATCTAAGACATCTGCAGAGGCCTCATGATGGAAAATGCTATCCACATCCAAAGAAAGAACTATGGAAGTTGAATTGCTATCCTTTTTTTTCTCTTCTGTTGAGTTTTGTTTCCTCTTTCTGATGGTTCCTCCTGTTGGTTTTAATTTTTACTCACAATGTCACTAATGTGAAAACATGTTTAATAGGAACATAAATGTATAGCCTATATCGGATTGTGTGCCATCTTGGGGAGGGTAGTGGGGAGGAAGGGGGAGAAAAATTTTAAACTCAAAAGTATATGGAAGTGATTGTTGATGAATCAATAAATTAATAAAGTAAATTTTAAAATTCAAAAAAATAAAATAGAAGCTCTCTATATTTTTTGTTTTTTCTTTCTCATGGTTTTCCCCTTTTGTTTTGATTCTTCTTTCACAACATGACTAATGTGGAAATATGTTTAACATGATTGTACATGTATAACCTGTATCAGATTGCTTGCTCTCTTGGGGAAGGGAGAGAGGAAGGGGGAAGGAAGGGAAGGAGGGAGAAAAATTTGGAACTCAAAATTTTACAAAATGAACGTTGAAAACTGTCTTTATGTGTAATTGGAAAAAAAATGCCATTAAGGAAAAATAATAAAAATTTAAAAATTAAAATAAAACATAAGCTCCTTGAAGGAGGAACTGTTTTTGCTTTTTATATTTGCATCCCCAATGCTTTGTACTTAGTAGGTGTTTAATATATGCTTTGTCATTCATTCATTCATTCATTGACTTGTTCAAATCACATAGCTAGGAATGAACAGACTGGGATTTAAATCCAGGTCCTTTGATTCCAACGCTGTCTCTCTTTCCTCTACACTAAGAGAGAAACCGTGTGACTTGTGGCTGTAAGGGCCTGAGTAGAGGAAGGTACTAGGGTGAGGGCATCCCTGATACAGGTACCTAGTTATGGCGTTGTGGACGAGATGAGGCCAAACTCTAGCATTGGTAGTCACTCTGGAGTGGCAGCGGCAGCCCCCAGATTGAGCCTGAAAGGCAGACCCAATCCAGTTTCATGTGGGTGACAATGCTGGGACCAGCCAGCATTTGGTGTGTTCGGCTCTTAGCTCAGGGAAGGATGCTATTGGGATCAGCGGAGGTAATGAATCATGGCCCCCCTGCATGGCTCCTGCTGGTGAGGGCCTGAGTTTCTTCTGTTATGAGAGGCAACAGATGGGGCTGGAAAAGAGCCGAGGTGGCAGCGACTGCCATAAACCAGCAGAACGTGTGGGGAATTAGCAGAGGTTTCACACCAGTTTTCAGAGAGCATTTTCCTCCCTGAACAAGGAGGGGTGGGCAGGCGCTCTGACTTGGTCTTAGGTGGGGATGGCACAGGAGTGTTTTCTAAAGGGGGATCACTGAGTCACTGTCCTGGGGTATTCAATCTGTGGAGTTCAGGGACTCTGGATGGAGAATCAGACAAACTCCACAAGGCAAGCTGGGCCAGCATCCATGCTGCCAGGATTTTCAGGAATGGCCAAGTTCCTTCCTCTTCCTCTTTAAAGGTCTAAATTGCCCTTTGAAAAAGTCTCCTTTGTCCTTTTTTTTTTTTAGGCAATTGGGGTTAAGCTAGTAAGTGTCTGAGGCTGGGTTTGAACTCAGGCCTTCCTCACTCCAGGGCTGGTGCTCTATCCACTGCGCCACCTAGCTGCCCCAAGTCTCCTCTTTCCCAGGCCTAGGACTTACAGGGTACCTGACACAGTTAAAAAAACACTACCATCCTCCCCGTCACCTAGGCTTACAAACTAGGCGCTGTCCCCAACTCCTCACTCTCTCACCCCTCCATGGTCCATTTGCATCTTCAGTAACATCTCTCATAGAAGTCCCCTTCTCTCTTTTGACACTGTAACCACCCTGGTGGAGACCCTCATCATCTCCACTTAGACTATTGAAGTAGCTCATTAAGTCTCCCTGCCTCAAAGCTCTCCCCTCGATCTCTCCTTAGCTGTCAGTGATCTTCCTAAAGTACAGTCTGACCATAAATTCCACCGGCGTCCTATCACCTCCAGAAGCAAAGATAAAACCTTCCCCTTTGCTTTCAAAAGCCCTTTATAACCTGGCCCCTCCTTCCCTTTCCAGGCTTTTTGTACCTTAACTCCCTTCCCCGTACTCCATGACACTGGTCTCCTTGCAGATCCCCACCCAGGACATCACGTCCTGACTCCAAGCATTTTCAGTGACTGTCCCCCATGCCAGGAAGGCTCTCTCTTCTCATCTCCCTCTCCTGGCTTCCCTGGACTCCTTCAGGTCTCAGCTAAAGTCTCACATTCTACAAAAAACCTTTCCCACATCTTCCTTAACCTTAATGCCTCCCCTCTGAGGCATTTGGCAGCGAGATGGCAATGGATAGAGTGCTAGGCCTGGAGTCAGGAAGATTCCTGAGTTCAAATCTGGCCTTCGCTGTGTGACCCTGAGCAAGTCACTAAACCTTGTTGGCCTCAGTTTTCCCATCTGTAAACTGAGCTGGAAGGAAATGGCA